ATGCCAAAGGTCACTCAGCTGACGAACAGTGGAGCTCAGATGCGGAAGACTGAAAACTCAGAGCCTGGGCTTTTAACCAAACACCGCATGGCTTCGCTACAGAAGAAAGTTAGAAAGAGTTTTCAAAAATAAAATGTGGGGCCAGGTGCCACCTTGGATATAAGGGACTGGGGGACGGAAAGAGTCAAGAACTCCCAGGCTTCCCTCTGGCTGTCAATAGCCAGTGGGTCCTGGCAGTGGGAGCTGGGCCATCAGAGGTGGCGCCCGAAGTGGGGCAGGCACAAAATGGGTTTTGGGGCCAGCGTTTGCCCGGGTGATGGTCAAAGCCACAGAAAAGAGGTGTTTTGACGGAGTGGTGGCTGAATGTGGGGAAAGATGAGCAGGGGACCAAGCCTGGAGCTTGGGCAGCCCACGATTGGACACTGGGAGAAGAAAAGGAGCCAGCGGAGGAGACACTGAGGCTAGGAATGGGAAGGGCACTGTGGAAATCTGGGCTCCACCTGGCGCTCCGGGGAGCGGGTAGGGGGGCGCATCAAGGAGCTCAAGCTGCCTCACCAGCAAATGCCTCTGTTTTTGACCAGGGGCAGTGAAATAAAGGGACCCAGTTAAGTAACTGGTTTCTGGTTCCTGCCAACCCAGGAAGCCGGCACCGGCCCTGCTTTACATCCCATGTGCCACGCTCAGCCTTCGAAGCAAAACCAGCTGAGGCCAGCACCTGCCAGGTCTGAATGCGCAGCTCCAAGTTCTGGGGGGTGGGGGTGGGGTGAGCCAAGGAGGTCTGGCTTCTCTAGGGCAAGGGTCAGGAGGACAGCAGGGAGGCTCACCCTGAGCCCGCAGGCAGCCCTTCCTCCTCCTCCCCTTCAGCAAAGAAAGGCAGAGAAAAACGTGTTTTTATAAATAGCTCCAGCCCCAGCTGATTTGTAAATTCCGTGGGTTTTTTTTTGTGTCAATGACATCACCTTCCTCCCCATGGCAACCCCCGACGATATCAAAATTGCCAAGCAACGTTGGAGCAGCTCAGCGCCCCAAACGAGCAGGTCGCTGCCTGAGGATTTAATGGAGAAATCCCAAAGTGAGCCGGGGCGCACGGTGGAGGAGGGGCGCGCCGCAGCCGGGGCCGCCGGGCCCTGATGGGCGGGAGCGGGGTGGAGCGGCCTCGCCTGACAGGCAGCCCTGGGCGCTGGGCTCCGCGGCCACACTCTGGAGACAGCCACTGTCCAGGCAGGTGGGGGAGGGCGCTGCTCCCGTCCTGATGTACCAGGAGCCGCCAGCAGCCATCCAGGTGACTAAGCCGGCCCACTAGCACTGAGTCACCGCCCGCCTGGAGCTGTTCTTGCTTCTCCTTTGCATCTGATTATTTTGGGAGCTGGAAACTTGGAGCTGCACCTGAGTCCCGCCCCTTCTAGCTCTCCCCTCCCTACCTTGGGCTCCAGGAAGATGGGACTTGCTGTGAGTCTGCTGCCACCCGCTAAAGATATGGAAGACGCTGTGGGGGCCAGAGGTGCCCGGGGGGCCGTGGCAGCAGGCAGAGTGCAATAGCAGATATGGTGGTCAGGCTGCCCGTGTGTGTCCTCTGGAGGTGTAAGGACAGAAGGGCAGTCTTGTCCCAGCTGACTGGAGTCCTCCCGGGCTGGCTCTGAACTCATCTCCCACGGGGATGTTTCTGTAAAGGAGTGGCTTCTGGGGTCGGAGTGGCATTTGGAGACCGAGGCTGGATTGGCTTAGGCTGGCCTGGGCAGGTAGGTGGCTCTATGCTGGGCGTGGACCCACGTGTGTGTGAGTGCGAGAGTGTGTAAGCCAGTGTGTGTGCTGGGGACAGCAGCTGGGTCCAGCAGAGCTGGCTGGGGGCCTGACAGCAGTTTATCCTAACTGATGCTGGGTGGGCGTAGGCCCTGAGATGGGCATCAGGGAGAGGGGACGCCAGACACACGGCCTAAGCAGGGTGAGGAGCAGCTGCCAGCCCCGGCAGGCCCAGGCCCTGTCTGGGTGCACAGGACCGAGACACAGCAACATGCCCAGGTAGGAAGCCTTCCGGAGGGGCTGGCCAGGGTGAGAGCCCATCACTGGGGGGCTGGGCTGCCCCTTCATTCTGGCAGGTCTGGGTACCAAGGAAACAGCTTCCTACCAAGAACCTTGTCACTCTCTCAGGCAGGGCCAGTCAGCACCCATGTGCGTCTCTGCTGAGCTCACAGGGACACCATTCAGTGAGAAGGGTGCTGGCCAGGGCACGGCTTCCCCACGATCAGGACCCAGTGGGTGCCACCCTCAAGCCCCTGGTCCCCACAGGGCATGCCCCAGTGTGTGTCAGGAGGGGGGAGGTCTCACCTCCCCCACACAGCTGGCAGCTTTGCGGGCACCAGTGAGTAAGCTGCCAGAGGGAGGGAGGCTCTGTGCCCACAGAGGCAGGACGACACCAACCAGGAGCCTTCAGGAGAAGAGGCTGGGTGAAAAAAGCACTGAGGTTTTCTTTTCCTTTTTTTTTTTTTTTCTATTTTGCCTGAAGGGAGTGCCGCTTCCTGGGCTAGAAACAAGCACCAGCCTGCAGTGGAGAACGCGGGGCCCCGCTGCCCAGAAGGAGCGGCCACGGTAAGGTTCCCCCTGCCGCTGCATGCTCCGGATTCCTGGGCTAGGGACCGGGATGCTAAGGTGTCCAGGCTGCCTCCCACCTGGGACAGGGAGGCTAACTCCACAGCTGTGGGTTCCTGGGTCAAGGAGCTCCACTCCCAACCCGACCTGCCGCCCTCTTTCCAGATTGACTGTGAAACAGTCCAATCCCAGCTAGATGCTGGCTGCCTAGCTAGAGGGAGAGGTGCTTGTTTCTGCTGTTCCTGCATGTACTTCCTGCCCCTTCTGGGCCAACCCAGTGTCACCAGGACACCCCTATACCAGGCCCCTCTCACTTTACCGCCTCTGGGACATTTCCCTTGTGTATTCATTCCACAAATATTTAGGGAGCACTGCTGGGTTCCAGGCTCCAAGTCACACCCTTTTGCTGGGTTTCACCTGGCACAGATTTTGACTCTGAAACTCAGTGTCAGGGCAGGTTCGGGGAGCTGCCTGGCCGAGCATGGTCACTCCTCACAGGCCTTGGGCTCCCCACCCCTGCTGCAGGGTGGATGACCTGGTCAGCTTCGGGGACATCAGGCCCAGTGAGCTCGGGTTTATAAAGCACTGGGCCCCACCAGGAAGCAAGGCTAATGTCCTGTGGTCTCCAGTTGTCCTTTGCCTGGCATCATACACCAAGAGGTTTGCGCGGTTCTGCTTGTGGTCTTCCTGAGGCTGGTTCTGGTGGGAACTGGGCTGCAGGAGGAGAGGATGAGCTTAGGAGCCGTGTGGCCCCCAGGCCTGGTGGGCCTGGGACTCAGCCCCACGGGAGCCCATCGAGCTGGGGTTGAGGCCTTTGGGGCAAGCAAGGAGTCCCCTCTGCAAGCAGACTTCCCTGGCGGTTGTCCTGGCCAGGCTTGGAGGTGGTACCTGGGAGCCCTAGTGAGCAGAGCGCCTGGTCAGAGAAGGGTCAGCGCCAGAGGCAAGCCCTTCTGGGAGCAGCTGATTTGGACGGAAACTCTGTGCACCTGAGATGGGGAGTGTGGGGACTGCATGGCCTGTCCAGCGCCCCGAGGACAAACCGAAGCCCTCCCAGACTTGCCAGACACAGGGAGGATGCAGTGGGTGGGGTCTCCAGCCAAGGAAAGCCCACTCTGCACAACTCCTAAGGATGACCAAAAAGTTCCCTGTCCTGGAGGAGCACATGCACTCGGAGTCGGGAGGAACCCGTAAGTGTCTCTCACGCCAGTGAATTCCCACACCTGGCTCCTGGATGAGGAGAATGACCCAGCTGTGGGGGTATCTCCTGCTGCCTCACAAAAGGTGACTCTGTGCCTAGGAGTCTTCCACGAATGCAGAGCTGAGCAGGGGCTGCTGCCCAGTTGGGGGCAGAGGGGCCGAGGCTGTTGAGCACCAGGCAGACAGCAGGCCAGCAGCGGGCAGCAGGCTGGGCCGGGGGGAGCAGAGAGTACGGGCCAGGGCAGGCTGGGCAGGAGAGGAAAAGGTGCCTGGGGTCCTGAGGGCTCAGGGCGGACTCCAGACAGCTGGCCTTGTTATGCCAGCCCACTTCTGTGGGAGAGGCCCCCTGCATAGGGGACTGGGCAGGGAAGAGGCTGAGACACTGAAAGACTGAATTCCTCACCCAAATGGCCCAGAGATGCCCACTGCACAGTGTCCTGGGTGCGGAAGGCAGGAAGGACTCATGGGAGGCTGTCCTGTGGACTGAAGCAGAAGGTCCTTCCCATAAGATGCCCTCGTCACCCTGAGCAGGAAGGCCCGGGCTGCGGAAGCAGTGCCTGAGACCTGAGCAGCAGGAAGGATGCCAGTAAAACTCATCAGGAGGCATCTGGCTGCCTGCACGTAGCGGGCCTCAAGGAGAGAGCTTGGTGGACTAGCCAGCAGGTTGGGGTGGAGCAGCAAATGGAAGCTTCTGAGGGCAGAATGAGTTCCCAACTTGCTGAAGCCAAGGCTGGCCCTCCTGCCCAGGGCGAGCAGTCTGCCTGGGCCTGGGAAGCTGCCCCCTTCTGAGAGCTCAGCCCTAGGGCCCAGGAAGGGCTAAGGCGAGAAGAGTGAGGTGTGAGATAAAGGGGACTGTGTCTTTTCCTGGCAGGGTGTGGGGTCCAGGCCGCACCTTGTTCTGACGCACAGGCTGCCAAGCAGATGACAGCCATGGCCTGCCTACTAGGTGCAAGCACTGGTGGCAGGAAGAGGGGGTGGACCAGGCAGGACAGAGCTCTTGCCCTGGGGATGCTTATAGCCCTGGAGCAGAGCAGTGGAGAGGAAAGCTGAGCTGAGCGTGGGGCCAACTCACCAGAAACAAGCGGAGCCACAAAACCACGATCAGCCCCCGGGTGGCTTTGTCCTTTTGCCCACTCTGTGTCCCAGACTCATCGCTGAACTTGGCAGCCATGACCCATCCAGCCCAGATAATTTATACATTTACACCAACACTGGGCGATGGTTCTTAACATAGAACTTTATAAAGATGGACAAAACAGACAACTTCAGAATGACAAACAAAGGAAGCAGCAGCTTCTATCTGCAGTTGCAGGAGGAGGTGAAGGCTGGGGGAGACAGACCAGGGCGGGAAGAGGCAGGACGGTGGTTGGTTAACATGAAGTCAGCAGCGTGAGCCTCAGGCCCGGTGCTGCCTCTTCCTGGTGACTCGGGCAAGTTATTTCATGTCTCTGGGTCTCAATTTCCTCTCCTGTTCAACAGAGATAATTACAGTACCTATGAGTTAGGGTTGTTGAGAGGATTAAATAAGATAATAAGTGAATGCTCTGAACGGCATGACTGGCACGTACGTACATGTTCAGCAAGAGATAACTATTATCACTGTGATGATAACTGGTGTCAGAGGAACAAAGTGCCAGGAGAGACCATACCTTGTTCAGGGGAATCAGGAAAGGCTTCACGGAGGAGGTGACTTTGAAAGAACCCTCCTCTGAGGAGAAACGAAAGCTCTCAGAATGCCCGGGAAAGCTGGGAAGAAACAATCATGCCAGGTCTATTTTTTCCCGAAACAGCACATTGTTTGTCCACTGAGACTTCCTAAGGAATAACTTGAGACTCCTCCTTCTGGGGTCTAGACTGGGAGATCTTGAGGACTTGAAGTGGGCTGCCCCTGGTGAAGGGATCCAGAGCCCAGCTGTGGCCCTGGCCCTACGCCTTTTGGGGCCTGGAAGCTTTTTTCACATGCTGGCCCTAACTCCATGAGGAACCGCGTTCTGCTGCGTCCCATCTAAAGCCTACACTTGGCGATGCGGCAGGCAGAGGGGCCAGACCGGGCCACGGCAGGCTCCGGACCACCCTGGCAAGTGGTTTGGAAATGCCTAGTAATCGTGGGCCAGGCGCTGTGGTTCACGCCTGTAATCCCAGCACTTTGGGAGGCTGAGGTGGGCGGATCACGAGGTCAAGAGATCAAGACCATCCTGGCCAACATGGTGAAACCCCATCTCTACCAAAAAATACAAAAAATTAGCTGGGTGTGGTGGCGCACGCCTGTAGTCCCAGCTACCCAGGAGGCTGAGGCAGGGGAATCGCTTGAACCCAGGAGGCGGAGCTTGCAGTGAGCTGAGATCTCGCCACTGTACTCCAGCCTGGCCACAGAGCGAGACTCTGTCTCAAAAAAAAGAAATGCCGGGGCCGGGCGCGGTGGCTCAAGCCTGTAATCCCAGCACTTTGGGAGGCTGAGACGGGCGGATCATGAGGTCAGGAGATTGAGACCATCCTGGCTAACACGGTGAAACCCCGTCTCTACTAAAAATACAAAAAACTAGCCGGGCGCGGTGGCGGGCGCCTGTAGTCCCAGCTACTCGGGAGGCTGAGGCAGGAGAATGGCGTGAACCCGGGAGGCGGAGCTTGCAGTGAGCCGAGATCTGGCCACTGCACTCCAGCCTGGGCGGCAGAGCGAGACTCCGTCTCAAAAAAAAAAAAAAAAAAGAAAGAAAGAAATGCCTAGTAATTGTGAGGCTCCATCTCAGAAACTTTTCGTTTTTCCTTTTTTTCTTTTTTTTTTTGAGACGGAGTTTCGCTCTTGTTGCCCAGCCTGGAGTGCAGTGGCGCGATCTTGGCTCTCTGCAACCTCCACCTCCCAGGTTCAAGCGATTCTCCTGCCTCAGCCTCCCGAGTAGGTGGGATTACAAGCACCCACCACCACACCTGGTTAATTTTTGTATTTTTAGTAGAGATGGGGTTTCACCATGTTGGCCAGGCTGATCTCAAACTCCTGACCTCAGGTGATCTGCCCACCTCGGCCACCCAAAACGCTGGGATTACAGATATGAGCCACCACACCCAACCTGTTTTTTCTACAAAGGGTTATCTGTTCTGTGAATTTAGGAAAGGTAATCCTAAGGCCTATTCACCTAAGAACAACGAGGCAACCCCAGAGCATGACAGGCTTTCTTGGGCTGGGGGAACTCACATGCAAAAAAAACAGGTTCCCTCATAACCACACGAGAGGCTGCAACCGCCTTGGCCCCAGCAAAGGGACACCTCTGCTGGCCAGCATTTCCTACCAAACCTCATCACGACACATCAGGCAGGGCAGAGACCCAAGTATTCACAGAGGGACAGTGACGACTTTTTTTGCACACCTGTGGATTCTCCGTGGCAACCTGTTCCCCAAAAGTGCTGCCTCGGTCAGCAAATCCCAGTGTCTCTCTGCCCAGGCAACAGTCTCTCGTGCTCTGGTGTGCCCACAGCCTCCATGCATTCAGCCCCTTGGGCCTCTTGCTATGGGGCCAGAAGCAGAGCTGTGTCCTTCAGGCTGTCAAGGACCTGGCTAGGGAATCCTCTGGGTGTCCAGGGAAGCAGGTTCAGAAAGCTCAGTTCAGCTGGGGCTGTGTTTTGATCTCTGATCCCAGTGCAGCAGGGACCAGCCCGCTCAACTCAGGGCAGACAGCAACAAACCAGTCACCTCGCCCGAGGCCTCCTGCTGCCTGCCTGCTACCTGCCTGCCTGGTGACCAGGACTCCTGAAGGCTGCAGCAGCGGCAGAGTTAAAACTGTAAAACCGGGAAGACTGGTTATGTGGCTCAGCTTCCTGGCCTGAAGAGGCTCCAGCCTCCATTTTCTTTCTTTCAGCTTATGGAATTGTGCAAGAAAGCACAGAGGGTGGAGGGAGCGAGGGGACCAGTGATGCCACAGCCTCCTGCACCACCAGAGCACAGTCCCAGGCCAGCAAGGAGGAGCTCTGAGGTGGGAAAGGCTGCCCCAGGAATGAGCTGGCCATCTCAGATTGCTGTAGCACATTCAAGCCAGCGGGAGTCCCCAGAGGATGTTTCATCCAGCCCCCATAATTTTAAAGTAGGAAACAGGTCCAGAGAAGGAAAGTGGGAACTGAGGCCACACAGCTAACTAATGGCAGGGTGAGTTTCCAGCCCAGAGATCCTCAGCTGCCTGCCCAGCACTCTTGCTTCCCAGACTGCCCCCCATCCCACCCCCGTGCTACCAAGGGCCCGTGCGGGAGGAGGCAGCAGCCACTGGGTAACCTGATGGATTGGGAGACGCAGCCTGGCCTGACACATTGGGAGTCTGGGCAGGCCCCTACTTCGCTCCTGGGTGCCTCCTGCCATCCCCCCAGCATCCTGCTAGACCTGAAACCATAGCCCAGCCCATGCTTGTCAGTCAAGTGCTTCCCAAGGATGAACTTTGCACACGGCACCCAGGCCACTCTTGGGTACCAGGCCACTCTCTGATGAAGAGATCTAACTAATTTATGAATGGATTGATTCAAGTTCTTTTTATCCCAGGTAACTTCATGTCTTAAGCCAAAGAAGGGAGTCAGGATGAGTGTCAGAGATGAAACAGAGGTTCTGGGGCGGAGGGTAGGGGAGGCACCTGGGAGGCCCTGTTCTTCAGGTGATCTTCTGATTGGTGTAGACTTTTGACCCCAGGCAGGCATTTACATGTCCAATAGCCACCATCAGAGGTCAGTTCCCAGAGGCAGGAGGCCTGTCACTTGTCGCCGGTCACCAGGCCCAAGCTAGACAAGAAAAGTTTTTCTATTCCACTAGAGTGGATCTTGCTTCAAGACCATGTGTCTGGGATCCAGAAAGGTGGGGAGAGGTAGAGGTCTCAGATCCTGGGGACGGATGGAGCTGGCCCCGGGGGTAAGAATGCAAGGCCAGGAGTGAGCAGGCATTCAGGACTCCTGTCGAGGAGAGGGTGGTCAGGACAGGAGGAGGGGCTGCCTCATGGACGATGAGGTCCGTCATCCTAGCAGAGGCTGTTGTACCAGCTGCTGGTGAGGGTATGGTAGCGGTGTTACCAGGACCCTGCTATGTCAGCGTTCAACTAAATGTCCCAGCAGGCCAACCACCCCTGCAGTAGTCCAGGGGCTCTGTCCAGTGTGTGCCAGAATACTGGGGGAGGGAGGACCCTGAGAAGCGTGGCAGCACAGCACAGATCCACCATGTGGCCATTAGGCCATGCCTTCTGACCCAGGGCACGTGCAGAGGTCCACAGACTCTAGGACCAGCTAGTTAGAGTTCCTAGGGGGCCGCACAGCCCAGAGTCTGTGTGTTTTGTGCATCTGGAACTAAGGTGTTCTGCCCAAAGTGTTGGAGGTGCGCCTCAGGCAACAAATACCCTGCTTTCTCACACCCTTTTCTTCCTTGGAGCTTGGGCCTGGGCCCTCACCTAGTCAGGCACAGGCCTCCGCTCCCCCACACTCACCTGTCCTTCCTGAAAGTCAGCCACTGGGCTCCACGCAGGACTGTCACAGTCACACCCAATCTCAGACCTGGGGCAGTCGCTGGAAGCTCAGAAGGGAGAAGACAAGACAATGAAAGTTTCCCATTCAAGGAGGCATCCAGCTGTTAGTTCTGCCAGCAAACATGCCAGCCAGAGAGCTAAACTGCCAGCAACAGATATTTGGATGAAACTTTGGAGGCCATTAAGAGCAGGCGCTGCAAAGCAATTGTAGCGAGAAGATATTAAATGAATCCATCATGTCTCTAAAATGAGTGTCCTTACCACAGACCTGGCTCTTGCTGTTCCTCAGCCCTTCCCAGGGTAGCCCAGGATGCACCTGGGATGGGCGCCGCAGCCTGCAATGGTCCCTGCATCTGAGGGGCTCCTCCCGGGTCACCAGGCCCCTTTGGGACTGTCAAGCAAGTTTAGCCCCCAGTGTCAGCTTGAGTTTGGGGAGGATGGTTTTATATATTCCCGTTGGCACAGGAAGCCTAGTACACTTGCGGAACCCGAGGGAAAGCCAGGCAGAGAGAGAGAGGCTCGAGGTTCTGCTGAGGCCCAGGGTATCAGCAGGACACGTCTGTCCAGCAGCCAGGCAGGGACCCAGGGGCTTTTCCAAAACACCTAACCAGGCCCCAGACAGTGCTACTCCCTGGCGCTGGGCTCTCTTTCCGGAATCTGGGGCGAACAGACCTGTTGGGTTGATTTAGTAGCAAGTGGTAGCCTTGTTTTCTGGACGAATCCTGGGATTCTACTCCGTGGCCCATCAAACCAAGCTCCAGTGTGCACGCCGGGGGCGGGGAGGGGAGCTTTCTCCTTGGTCCCTTCCGCAACTGTGCGGGCTGAGGGTTAAGAACCTCTCAACCCATTTGGGGGTGCTGCTCCTCCATACTCCTGTATCCCAATGCTCTAGACCTCATTATTCCACCACCCTCCCAAGGGAGGGAGGTACTCTTTCCATTACACGCATCAGGAGACTGAGGCCAGAGACATGCCATAAGTCTCGAGAGGCAAGAGGGCTCCCACCCGCAGGACTCCACGGCTCTGCAGCTAGACTCCATCAACTTCCCTCCTGCCTGGGGGCCCCGAGGGCCTGGCAGTGTCAGCTTCCTAGGCTCACACTTCCAGATGCGCAGAGGTTCGGAGGCTTGCACCTCCCTCTTGGTCCCATCAGCAGAGAGAGATGGGTGGTCCCATCGGGGTGAGGAGCAGGAAGAAGCAGGTGCTGGGCAGCCTGGAGGAGAGTGGGAGGAAGGGATTTTCCCCCAAGAGTGCCTCTCTCCCAGGCCTCGGGCTCCAGGGTGAGTGGGCGGGGACCCTCTGGGAGCCCCGGCTCCTCAGGGCTCCTCCTGCCAAGCATCCAGCACACGTGCCCCCACCTCCCCAGCAGGTCCTGCCTGAGGGCCTGAGGCGGCTGGGGCGCTGTGTCTGTGAAGGGCAGATGTGGGATGCAGGAACTTCAGGCAGGGTGCTGGCTTGTGGCCAGGAAAGCCTAGCACCTGATTCCTAGCAGGGAACTCAGTGACAGAGTGGGGGAACCTGAGGACCCCTCTGCCCCTCACACCCAGTGCCATGTGGGGGTCCTCATATGTTACTCAGAAATAGGGAGGGAGAGTCCCCCTACCCCTACCCCCAGCCCTCTTGTGTCTCATGTGACAGCCTTCCTGGGCAGTGATTTTTTTAAAATACAAATGCCTTATATTAAGGTCTGAGTTGGTCTCTCTACACTGCCTGTTCAAACATTTCACGGCGCCAGCAGCCTCTAAGCAGCAGAATTGAGAGAACCAGCTTTGGGGTCAGATACACTTCCATTCAAATTGCAGCTCCTCCACTCAGTAACTGGCTTACTTAGTCTTTCTGGGCTGGATAACAAAGTACTGTGGGCTGGTGGTTTATAAACAACAGAAATCTATTTCTCACAGTTCTGGAAGCTGAGAAGCCCAAGAGCAAGGTGCTGGCAGATCTGGTGTCTGGTGAGGGCCTGCTTCCAGGTTCAGAGGTGGCTGTCTTTTTGCTATAATCTCACATGATGGAAAGGGCCAGGGATCTCTCTGGGGGCCTCTTTCATAAAGGCATGAATCCCGTTCATGAGGGCTCTGCTTTTGTGACTTAATCACCTGCCAACAACCCCACCTCCTAATACCCTCGTATTGGTGATTAGGTTTCAACAAATGAATCTTGGGGGGGACATAGGTTTCAACAGATGAATCTTGGGGGGACACAAACATTCAGTCTATAGCAGTAATTAGGAGATCTTCAGCTGTTCTTTAACCACTCCAAGCCTCAGTTTCCTCATTCGTCAAATGTGAATAATAATTGTACAGGACTTCCATCCCGGGGTTGTTGTGAAGACTAAGGGAGATAGCACAGGTACTAGCTTTGTACCGGGCCTGGTCCATGGGAAGCATGCCATCATTGGCAGCCATTATTATTTCTATTATTAGGGGAGGGCGGAGTCGCCCAGAGGAAGGAGGCTGGAAGGAGTAAAAGAGCTTGTTAGTCGCCTTCCTCATCCCCAGGAAGCTTTTCAAGTCATGGAGCAGAAAGATGCAGGGAAGGGATAATGTGTTTGTCTTTCTAAACCACAAGCTGATCCCTATCTTTCCTCTTTGGCCCTAGCCCGAGTGCTCAGCCCTGGCTGTTGGCGCTCAGATGTTACAACAGGCCCCGACAGCCACAGGCTGAGGGAGAACCAGGAAGTACCTGCCCCACCCGACGTGCCCGCCTTGCTGCCCTCCCAGACCATACTGGCCTGCCAATACCTCTGAGATGGCACCACTCCAAGAGCCATGTCCCGTGGTGAAATGCCTGTTTTGGGTGTCTCTTCCAGAGCTCCTACCCAATTTGTAGAATGGGAGTGCCTGGACAATTCCTTCAACCAGAAGGTCTGTGCCAGCAGCCAAGGCTCCTCAAAGGAGGATGTGCCTGGAGTCCCCCGTGCTCAGCATGGCAACCTGGGAACAAGGCAGAGGGTGGCACGTGGACGCTGCAGGAGACACTGTCCCCAGACTGCTCCTGATGCTTCCCGTGCTGTTGTTCTGCCCTTTTCTCCTGGGCAGGGCTGAGCTGGGCATGGATCAGAGGAGAATAGAGAAGGGGAAGAGTCACACACAGGAATTAATCACTCAGGACCTACCCTGAATGGACAATTCAGTGTGGATCCCCAGCTGTCTCAATGTGTGGGGAGGGGGGTGGCAATGGGGGGGGGGCGTGCAACCCAGTGCAGCTGAACTTCACGTAGATGAGACTGGAAGTGCAAAAAACTGGTGTTGTGATGGACCTGAGGGATTCCCTAGTGTAGTCTTGTATCCAGTTCTCTGGCCTACCTGACTGACAGTTATTCTTGAATACCTCCAGTGATGGGGGACTCATTACCTCCTTGGTCAGTCTAACTTGACCCTCTGCCTCTCTCAAGGCCCCAAACCCACTGTAGCTCCCAAGGGGTAGGAGGAACCCAGGGTTTCCTAGAGTTACTCTCTATAGGGTGAGGATGGGACTTGGCTAGTAGCCATTCTAGGGCACCTAAGCCTGAATTCAAACCAAATTAAATACCAGCTCATTTCTGGTAATATTCTAACATTCATACTTCATTGTAGTTCTGTTCAAAAGTACTGCTTGGAGCTGTGATTTGGGTATATAAGGCATTTGCAGTAAAAGAAAATAATTCGGCCGGGCGCGGTGGCTCAAGCCTGTAATCCCAGCACTTTGGGAGGCCGAGACCGGCGGATCACGAGGTCAGGAGGTCAGGAGATTGAGACCATCCTGGCTAACACAGTGAAACTCCGTCTCTACTAAAAAAACGCAAAAATCTAGCTGGGCGAGGTGGCGGGCGCCTGTAGTCCCAGCTACTCGGGAAGCTAAGGCAGGAGAATGGTGTAAACCCGGGAGGCGGAGCTTGCAGTGAGCTGAGATCGGCCACTGCACCCCAGCCTGGGTGACAGAGCGAGACTCCATCTCAAAAAAAAAAAAAAAAAAAGAAAATAATTTGCATGTGCATTCATGAATCAGTAAAAATAATTTAGGGTGTCAATTCTAGGTTAGACAATATAATGCATTTCATTCTAGCTTTGGTTCATGGTTCCTTTCAAATCCTCAGCAACCAATCTCTCCCACCTCCACGCAGCACATTCTGCTTCTGCAGCCAGCATTCGGCCAGTGCACCCATGTCCTTGGTATCTCATCTGTGGGGGGAGCCATTCTTGTAGCACCTGGTCCCCCTCCCACTGCCCCCTCATCCGAGGCCTAGCAGTCAGCTTCCTGGGTGACCACAGGAGGTCAGAGTTTGTCTAAGCGGGTCAGGCCTACAGTATTGTCCAGTCAGAGGAAAGAGAAAGAATCCGCGTGGGAAAGACACAAAGAGGAGGAGGAGAAGACGACGGAGTAAGGGGAGGAGAACAGAAACTAAATATAAATATTGTGTTGGGGATGTTGGGGATGGCAGCGAGGACCTATGGTTAGCTGGCTGGCTCCCACACCACTGTCCGCTCCCACACCACTGTCCCACGGCATACAGGGCCAGCATCTGCACCTGGCACCATGCTTTTCCAAGGAAAGCAGAGGGCATTGGGCTTGTGGTGCAGCCACACAGAGTACAGACCTGTTTGGGGCTGGCAGGTTCCCACGGGTTGCCTGAGCTCTATTTGGTGGGTGCCTTAGAGTAAACTGTGTGTAACCAATACAGCCTGTAATGCAAAAGATTGAGCCATGAGTAGCATTGATACGTCTAAAGAATCAGTGAACAAAAATAAGTGACCATAGTGACCTCAGTTAGTCATTGAAGTCTGAGGTGCCCAACAATGATTTTTTAAATCCCTGCACTGTCCTTGGTCCCCGCTCTGTGACACTGGCAGTCACCCAGCCACCACTTGAGGGCAGCCATTTAGAGGCCACATGTACTGAGTTTCCAAGCCAGAACCTCCTCAGCACTCAGCACTCAGCACTCAGCACTCACAGAGAAGAGCACACATCTTCTCTCTGGGGGCCCAAGACAAGGAGAGCAAAGGTCTTCTCACTTCTTTATTTGGGGAAGAGACAGGTGATCCCTGTCCCTTCCCCCAATATAGAAAACACCCGCTACCCCAAAAGAAACATGGCACGGGGGCAGCCAGGAGTGAGCCCCTTGGAATGGCCATTCTGATCTTAGGCAGAGACTGCTGAGGACAAGCAGGGGATGCCGACTCTGGAACAAAATCACAGGCGGAGAGCTCCGGAACAGGCCCCAGCCGTCTGGAGTGCGGGTCTCCTGCCCTAGGACTGTCAGGCTAGAAAGTCCTCAGGACTCAGGACTGCGCAAGGTCTGACAAGGGAACTCGAATCCCTTAAATCCCACTTTCCTGCCTGCGCAAGGGGCTACCTCAGCACAGTCTTGGGGCCCTGTCCACATGGGACAGATCATCCAAGGTGACAGGTTTTCGGACTTCCGCGTGGGCTCTCCAGGATGTGTGGGTGGGCACACGCGGCCCCGCGACAAAGGAGAGTCGGCCCGCGGCTCTGGAGCGTGCATCTGCGATGCCAGTGAGCCAGGTGATTACACACAGCCGGCACCCAGCTGGTTCTCCGGGTCGGGTCTCCGCGAGGCGGCCACCAGGCCGTGGAGCCGCAGGCAGGTCCCCGCGGCAGTGGCCCCCCAGGGCCCGGAGGCGAAGGGCGGGCGGGAGCTGGGGGCAAGCAGGTGGAGAGAGAGTTAGGCAGCGGGGCGCCCCTCGGGCAGAGGGGCTCCTGGCCAAGGCCCCAGCGACCCTCGGTAACTTCTCCCGCGCTCTGGGTTCGCCGCCGCGTCCTACCTGAGGCCACACCCTGAAATCAAAACCGCGGCCAGGTGAAGCCGGCGCTGCACCAACGTGTAAGCGCGGCCCCTCCTCGGCGTTCCCGCGCCGAGGTCCCTCCCGCGGAGGGCGGGCCCGGCTCCCACGGCCTCTTCGAGCGTTCCTGGGCTTCCCGCTCCGCAGGTGGGTGCCCCGGCTGCCCTGGAGGGTCGCGGCGAGAGGACAGGCCTCCCAACACGTGCGGCCCCCTTCCTGGGTGCCCATGCCCCGAAGTTCGGGACCAGCCGGCGCCAGGCGAGGGGCCTTGGGCGTAAGCATCTGGAGCTCCGCGCCCCTGGAGCGGGACCTCCCTCCGCGGGCGCCCGCCTGGCGCGGGGCATTCGCGTCCCCGAGAGGGCGCAGCAGTGGGGCCTGCGACCCGGGTGGCCGCGCCGGGTCAGAGTGCGGCGGGAGAGGGGCCGCCCCGGAAGCGGTGCTGCGCCCAACGTCCCCTTCTCCCCGTGAGCCCCGCAAGGAGGCTGCCGCCTCTTGCACCTGAGCCAGGAGTTCAGTCGGGAGGCGGGCGCGGGGCGGTTCCCAACGCCTGGACGCCAGCCAGTCGCAACACCCGCGGGAACACTTGCTACACTGGCCATAATGCATTTCTGATCTGTTTCCGCGCAGGCCTGCGGAGGACTGGCCCGGGAAGGTCCCAGGTCTTCCCTCGCCTCAGCGCCTAAGAGAGCGGTCCAGAGCGGGTGAGGAGTCTCGAGGAACAGGCGGAAGGCGCCGGAAGGTGAGTGAGCGAGCGGCCCCCGGCCCTAGAGCCTTCTGCACCCATTTTGAAGAGCAGGCAGGGAGGGACGGTGGGAAGGCAGGTGGCCCTCCTGGGCTGGCTCCTTCCTGGTACTGCTAGGCAGCGGAGGTGGTCCCTTCCAAGTGCCGTCTCTCGATCCTTAGTGGGTGCATGTTAAGTCACTTCCACCACTTTGCCCCATGGCCCAACAGTAGACTGGCAGACGTCAAGGCCTCAAATGGCCCGCCCTGCCCCCGGGCCCATCTTCAGGTCTGATTGCCATCAGGTCTGATGCCAGTCCTGGGTGAGGGTGTCACCGCGGCAGAGTGCAGGGAATTCATGCTGGGGAAGAGGTTCCCAAACAGGAAGGGTGGTGGCAGGCCCAGTGGCTGTGCAGGGCAGGGTGGGAGGCAGCCGCGGGAGACTCCTGCAGGAGTCACAGGTGAAGCTGCCGCTCCACACATCCCAGCCCACTGCTCATTCCCCGGGTCTCCAGACCTGCTCAGGCGGCATCCGATCTGGAGTGCAGGTGCTGCTAGGAGCACTGGAGGCTAAGCCATGAAGAGCTCCCAGGGTTGCATTTTCTGTATCTTGCCCCATTCTGGTGTTTTTGTTTTTGTTTGGGGGGAGTGGGGGCTTTTCTGACTCGTTTTTCTGGGTGAAGGGGGCAGAGGGGCTCAGGTCTGTATCCATGCTCAATTTTCGTAGCTGGTGTGGCATAGGTTGCCACACTGGGTAAAAAAACGCCTGATTCCATGCAAGGTTAAGAGTCAGCCTGCAATGCCATGAATTCTACATGGTATATAGGACAGTGGCCAAAGACACATTTGGAACCACAGAGAGTGGGGTTTGAATCCATCCAGACTTTGCCTTTGACTCGATAGACAAGTTGCTTCACTTCTCTACGAACTTATAAATGGCCTCATCTGTAAAAATGGGAATTCGAATGCCTTCCTCATAAGGCGGTTGTGGGGAGTAACTGCCTCATCAGCCTCCGGCTGCTATGTTGGGAAGGGCTAAATCACTCCGAATTCTCCCATCCTGGAGAGCTTTAAGGGCAGTCTGGCTGTTCAGCAAGCTATTGTCAGAGGGTATTAGAGCAAAGCAATAGGAATAAAGTAAAGGTAGGGGTCCTTGGACGGCGAGCAGTGAGAGACCCTAATTCAGGGTCTCTGGACCTTGTGGTGACCAAGGAAAGGGGCCATTTCTGGAAGAGCATCTGGCTTGGGCATCAGAAACAGCAGCATCCCCTGCATGTCACACATGTTCATGTGTTCATGGGTGACCCTGGAACCTCAACTGTTGCCTGGGACAGAGGGAGCCTCTGGCTTGAGCTTCCAGTCCCATCTCTGCTCTGCATACCTGTGTGATCCAGGGCAGGTCATTTGACTTCTCTGGGCACTGGGCATTGTGGATGAGCCTGGAGTTTGGAGTCGGAGAGATCTGACTTTGAATCCCAGCTCCACACTTAATGTCTTGGACAGTTACTTCTCTCTGAGGCTCAGTTTCTTCATCTGTAAAACAGAGCTTGCAATAGCTACAATTGGCCATTAAATACACTAATAAAAAGCACCTAGCACATTCTCTCCTGGTGGGCACTTTATAAACATACCTTTCTTTTCTTACCTCCTCCTCCTCTCTCCAGCTCCCTGCTTTCTTTAAAATGGGCCCAGCAGGTTCAGCCCAACTCACAGTGGTGTTGTGCGTATAAGGAGGTGAAGTAGAGGTCTGGAAAGTTAAGGGCTATAGGAAAAAAAGGCAATCTTGTGATTAGGGATGCCAGAGGTTCCTTCTACCTAGGCATTGAGGACCCTATGCTGAGGACTCAGACCTTTGTGTGCAGAGGCTGTTGAGAATCTGGGGTAGTGAGAAGGTTCCTGGCTTGCAGCCCTCCCAGGAAGCCATTCTTCAGGTCTTGCCTTAGAAATAACCGCACACCCAGGAAAGCCCAGTGCTGTGCAGCAGGAGGGGATAGGCAAGGGTTGGGATTCCAGGTACAGTAAACGGAGGTCAGAGGGCTGGTGTGGCCTGAGCTGCTGCTGGACCGCAGCACTGTCTGTGCAGGCTGAAGCTGGGCCCAGGAGGAGGGCCTGAGTCAATATTGACCTTCCTTGGCTGGCCGGCCTGCTCTTCAGCAGCTCATTCAGCTGGAGTGTTGACACAAGTGACTGAACGAGCTGTATTATTGTATTCTTTTAAACAGCAGCCCATTATCTCTCCTCTGGGGATTCACTGGGGCCAGTGGTATGGGAATGGTGACAAAGGCAGGCAGCCCAAACATTTGGGCAGGTTACGTGCCATGCTGTCTGCCCTGGCCCATGCTGCATCTCTCTGGGTCCCTCAAGTGGGACAGCAGAGCTTCAGGGTCCCGCTCATCCTCCCAGGGCCTCTCCGCACTTCAGCACAGTGACCCTGGGCAGGTTGCCTGAAGCTTGTGGGCATCCACATGAGGGCCACGACCTGCGTCTAGCACCCTCCTCCCCTGCAGGTGACAGCTGAGCAGAAAAGCAGATGAAATGTCCTTCCTCCGTGTATTTTGGGGGCCAGGATAGGGTGCTGGGGTGCCGCCTCTCCTGACTCTCGAGTCACGTGAAGAGTAGCAGATGGCAGACTCGGACCCCAGTGGAGGCTGAGGTGAGACAGAGTTCAGCTCCACATAAGGATCAGCGAGGGGACGGAGGGGACAGAAGGCAGGGGCTGCAGGGGGAACTTTTCATCACTGAATGAGTTCTAGCCGAGGGCGGGCAGCCTCCTGTTGGGAATACCAGAGGGGCTGAAATTTGGGCCGAGGGGAAGGTCAGACCCCGTCAGGAGCCCCACAGATCTTGCATTACCATCTCTTCTGGCTGCGGAAGGTTGGCCTAGAGCACCATCTGTCTGGAAGAAGCAAACAACCGCACAGGAGTGAGGATTTTCTCTCGTTTACCATGGTCCCCAGAGCCTGGAGTACAGTAGGTCCATAACAGATGCTGTTTGAATAAAGGAATAGTATGATTTCCCAGCTGGGCACGGTGGTGTGCTCCTCTAGTCCTAACTACTCAAGCAACTGAGGTGGGAGGGTGGGTTGAGGCCAGAAGTTCGAGGCTGCAGTAAGCTCTGATCGCGCTACTGCATTTCAGCCTGGGCGACTGAGCGAGACTCTGTCTCTAAAAAAAAAAATTTTTTTTTTAAACAAACTTCTGAAAGTAAAGTTTGAGAAAAATCCTTCTGGCCAATGAGAATAGTCCAGTGAAAGACTGTCTTCTGTTCACAGTAATTCTCAGCCAAGGGGTCGGGTGAGGCCTGTCACCTGTCAGAATGTGTGTGGGACGACAGTTCCCAAAGGGGGTTACGAAGAGGTCAAAAAATCCTGCTGCAGGTCTCAGGGCGTCAGGGCCCAGCCCTGGAGGTGACAGGGTCCTCTGGAGGCCACTCAGACAAGATGGTGATGGTAGTCGGGTACTTGCCTAAGTTTTGTAGCACTAAGGGGGCTCACCTCTGTCTTGGGGCTGTGATTCTAGGATAGGCCCTTCCCCAAAGTGTCTCGGGTGGGCCTGAGAATAAAAGAGGGTGGTGGTAGGAGCAGATGGCCACTGCAGCCAAGTTCACATCCGGTTCTGGGTCAGACTCGTGGCTGCCCCTTCTTTGCCTCTCGGCTTGAACAAGTCACTTCGTCTCTCCTTGTCTGCATCATGGAGACAGTACTAGTGCTACCTCACAGGCTTGTGGCGAGGAGATCACTTGTATGAAATGCTCAGCCCGGAGCCTGCTGCTTACAACTTACACTAGGCGTTTCCTGAGTGACGACCATGAGAAATACCCAAAGCTCCTCTGTGAGCAGGAACAGATGCTCCCCCTCACTGTGCCTGGAGAAGCTGGCAAAGGTGAATTAATCCATCCCTTGTCACCTACAAAAATGCTGAGGGCTACAGAAGGCAAGTAGGCCAAGGTCACAGGCTGGAACTTAGGAACAGCAAGCCCAAGGTCCACGCTGAACCAGCGCTCAGCCTTGTGGCTCAGGACTTGAGCCCTGATAAGCCTTGAGCCCTCGCTGTGAGAAAGCCGGGGCATGACACCCCCCTCTCACTCCCTGGCACCTTCAGCAACCCAGGAGCTGGCCCACTAGGCAGCAGCCTCCTCTCTTCCCAGTCACCCGGAAATGGCAGGGAATTCCACCAGCTTCATTTCTAACAGCTTCCCGGCAATCCCAGCACTTACACAGCCAACCCAATGCTGACTCCTCCAGGTGGCTGCAAACCCCTTTAGACTCACTTTTTGGAAGCCAGCTTCCCAGCCTCAGCACGTTCTTGGGAATCCCTTCGGTGGGCTGTGTCCCTTCCTTGAAAGGGACTCAATATGTGCAAATAGCCCAAACTTACCATAGGCCAGGTCTGGAGGGCCAGGTGGGTGACCACGTGGGAGACCACCACTTCTGGTGAAAAGTGGGGTGACGGGTTAGGAGGACAGCTGAGGTGGGCTCACAACGGCCCCAAAGGCAGTTCCCAAAGAGGAGTTCTGGAAATACCAGAGCATGTTTGAAACAGGCAGGTACATTCCCAAGGGGTCTGCCTCGCACAGCGACGCTCATTTGAATGCCCACGCTCTGGCTTGAGGTTTAAAGGCAGACTCATCCTCTGTAGTGCCACCCTGCATTTGTGGGGCCCTGATGGCTCTGGTGGCCCTGGCATCCCAGGGCCCGGCACAGGGATGTCTCCTCTCCAGGGAGGAGACGTTGTTGGGGAGGGTAGCCCACCCACAGCGCAGCTGCTTTTCTCAGCTGTGGACACTAGACCAGCCAGGCCTCAGTGCCGTGCTCTGGGAATCCCCTTGTCTCTGGGGAACAGCAGTGTCTGCCACAAAACTTACCCCGCTTCAAGCCAAGGCTACAGGTTGCCTTCGGCTTGGTGTTCCTAAGTTCCGGCGTCAGGCTGAGCCCCTGCAGAGGGGTTGTGGGCGCACCCTGTGCTGGAGAGAACACACGCCTGCTGTCCCTGTAGCTTTTCCCAGATGCCAGCCCCTGACCATCACAGCCCCCACCATGACCTCCTGGAAACATTTTACTCACCCCTTGCTGGGTGGAAAAACACCTGGTTCCTTGCAAGGTAAGGGTCAGCCTGCAAGTTCGGACGGCCCCAGGCCCCGTGGCCTCTGACTCACAGGTCAGCCCAGGAAAGAACTTAGCAGGCTCCTTCCCTGGAGGGGCCAACCCTGTCCTACATCTCCCACCATATCTCACCCGCTTCTGTTCATAAAGACCTCCAGGGAGGGAGAAGAACCACAGCCAACTCAGTCTGGGGTGAGCATGGTGGACGGAGCAGGGGCTCTGGAATCAGGTCTGGGTTCAAACCTCAACTCGGTCATTTCCTGGTTCTGCACCCTCAGGCAAGCTGTTGAACCCCTTTGAGCCACATCTGGATTTGTGGATAACAATTCCTCCTCTCAGGGTCGCTGTGAGGATTAAATGAGTTAACTCTCGGAAGGGGCTTGGCACATAATAGGTACTCAAGAAAAGTTCCTTCCCTTTCTGTGTCTGAGACTGCCGCTCCTCCAACACCACTGTCCCGCTCCTCAGCGACCCCAGGTGCACGTCTCCCTGAACTGTCCACCAGCTCTCCCCTCGGCTCCCTGAACTGTCCACCAGCTCTGCCCTCGGCTCCCTGAACTGTCCACCAGCTCTGCCCTCGGCTCCCTGAACTGTCCACCAGCTCTCCCCTCGGCTCCCTGAACTGTCCACCAGCTCTCCCCTCGGCTCCCTGAACTGTCCACCAGCTCTGCCCTCAGGTTTACTGGAAGTAGCAGCATTTCCTTCAGAAAGCCTGTGCCAGGAACTGTTGGCCCCCACTGGCCAGGCTCCAGCTGGAGGAAGCCCCCCAGCAGGGGAGCTTCCTTCTTGAACTGGTTTGGGCTGGACCCTTCCCTCCCAGCCCTGGGCATCCCCCCGATGGAGTTACGAGTCAGCCAGCAGGAAGATGTCCGCAGACATCCAGAAGAGGGAAGTTCAAAGCAGTCCTCACACACGGCGGTGCATTTCCAGCCTGAGGTGGAGTCTTCAGTGTGGCCTGCCTCCCCTGTGTTAGGGCGAGGTGTCAGCCAGGAGCGGCTGGGGCTGGGGCTGGGGCTGGGCCCGAGCTGGCCGCCCCGCTCTGCTTGTTGCCACTTCAGGGTCTTAGGCTCACATCACTTCTTTCAAGCTAGGCAGGAGAAATGGCAGGGTCTGGCTGTCTGAGGGAAAGTCCTCCTCCTTCCTCCTCCGGGTGTCTTCTTGAAGGAAAGCTGCTCCTCTAGATGAATTGCATGCCGATGGAGATGCTGGAGGGGTGACAGGTAACAGCTGGCATGGCCTGTTTGACTTAACCTTGGGGCCTCATGGCTGGTGCAGCACCTGCCTCCGTCAGCCTGGCGGCCTTGGAGATATGGATGGGAAAAGGAGCCCTGGAAATGGCAAGTGGAGGCCCTGGCTGACCGGGTGGGTGTGCTCTGAGGACGTGGCCTGATGCTGAGGAGAGTCACGGCATGTTTTGTCCTGGATGATTCACTCACGATGACCTGGGCAACACTGGTCCCATTCAGGTGGGCGAGCGTCTCTTAGGCACTCAGTCTCCATGGATCACTCTTCTCTGTATTTAAAATACTTTGTTTTCGGCCGGACGCAGTGGCTCACGCCTGTAATCCCAACAGTTTGGGAGGCTAAGGCGGGTGGATCACCTAAGGTCAGGAGTTGAAGACCAGTCTGGTCAACATGGTGAAACCTCATCTCTACTAAAAATACAAAAATTAGCCAGACGTGGTGGTGGGTGCCTATAGTCCCAGCTACTCAGGAGGCTGAGGCAAGATAATCACTTAAACCTCGAAGGCAGAGGTTGCAGTGAGCCAAGATTGCACCACTGTACTCCAGCCTGGGCAACAGAATAAAATTCTGTCTCAAAAAAAAAAAAGTGTTTTTTTTAAGAGAAGCAATCCGTCATCTTTAAGGAGAACTTAGAAAAAGAGTAGAAAGATATGATAGAAGGAAATCACCTGTAGCCCCACCAGGAAAATGGGACAACTAATATTTTGATGTATTTCCTTCAAATAGCCACTGTATTCACATTGCATTGACAAATTACCATAGGCAAAATCTTTAGAAATCCCCTACCCCTAATCTATATCATCAAGAATTCCACTTTGGGCAAAGAAAACCTTGATCGTTTAATTTGTGTCTGGGACGTATCAGTGTGGACAGGTTTAGGCCCCAGCAGGTTGTGGGCTCCAGGAGAGCCCACCAAACCGGGCCCCTCGGAATGACCACACTGGACCTGAGGGAAGGGACAGCCAGGCTACGGGTGCCCGCCATCACTCCTACCGGCTTTATTATTTTACCTTTCACACTGAGGTCTGTGATCTGTCTGCATAATTTCGGAGTACGATATGAGCTCATTCTTCCAGATTCATTTTTTTTTCCATGCAGATATAAAATTATTTCAACTACATTTATTAAAAAGATCATCCATCCCCCAGCATGTTGCAGGTCACCTCTGTCATTAATCAAATGACCTCAAAAGAGTGGGTCTGTTTTTGGATTCTCTCTTCTGTTCCATTGGTCTATTTGTCAATCTTTTTGCCAATTCCATACTAAATTGATTATTGTAACTTTATAATAAATCTTAGTATCTATTTAGTATAATCCTCCAATTTTGTTTGTTAAGATTGTCTTGGCTATTCCTAGTTCTTTATGTTTCTGTATACATTTTAGAATCAGTTTATCAATTTCTACCAAAGGAAATATGCTGGGATTTTGTTTGAGATTTAAGTAAATCTGCAGGTTAACTTGGGAATAATTGACATTTTTACAGTATTGAATCTTCTAATCTATGAACATTCTTTAATATCTTTAATAATGTTTTGTATTTTCCAATATAAGGACTTTGTATATCTTTTTGTTAGATTTATTCTAGATATTTTGTTTTTTTGTTTTGTTTTTTTTTTTTTTGAGACGGAGTCTCGCTCTGCCGCCCAGGCTGGAGTGCAGTGGCCGGATCTCAGCTCACTGCAAGCTCCGCCTCCCGGGTTCACGCCATTCTCCGGCCTCAGCCTCCCGAGTAGCTGGGACTACAGGCGCCCGCCACCTCGCCCGGCTATTTTTTGTATTTCTTAGTAGAGACGGGGTTTCACCGTGTTAGCCAGGATGGTCTCGATCTCCTGACCTCGTGATCCGCCCATCTCAGCCTCCCAAAGTGCTGGAATTACAGGCTTAAGCCACCGCGCCCGGCCAATATTTTGTATTTTTAATGTAAAATGGTATCTTTTTAAAAAAATTTCTTTTCTTTTTCTTTTTTTTGAGACAGAGTCTCACTCTGTCACCCAGGCTAGAGTGCAGTGGCATGATCTCAGCTCACTGCAAGCTCCGCCTCCCAGGTTCACACCATTCTCCTGTCTCAGCCTCCCGAGTAGCTGGGACTACAGGCACCCGCCACCAGGCCCGGCTAATGTTTTGTATTTTTAGTAGAGACGGGGTTTCACCATGTTAGCCAGGATGGTCTCGATCTCCTGACCTAGTGATCTGCCCACCTCGGTCTCCCAAAGTTCTGGGATTACAGGCATGAGCCACTGCGCCTGGCCCTTTGTAAAAATTTTATGTTGTTACTGGTATGTAGAAATCCAGTTGATTTTTTAAAATATTGACCTTGAGGCCAGGCACGGTGGCTCATGCCTGTAATCCCAGCACTTTGGGAGGCTCAGGTGAGTGGATCACAAGGTCAAGAGATCAAGACCATCCTGGCCAACATGGTAAAACCCCATCTCTACTAAAAATACAGAAAGTAGAGGTGGGTGTGTTGATGCATGCCTGTAGTCCCAGCTACTCGAGAGGCTGAGGCAGGAGAATCTCTTGAACCCGGGAGGCGGAGTTCTCAGTGAGTCGAGATCACTGCACTCCAGCCTAGGCAACAGAGCAAGACTCCATCTCAAAAAGATATATATATCTCTTTTTGACTTATATATATATAGTCCTTGAATCAAGGACCTTTTAAATTCACTCCCTTAATCCCAGTTTTATGTAGATTCTTCCGCATTTCCTACTTACACAGTCATGTTGTCCCACGCAGTGTTGGCCTCACATTTCAAATGAGTCCTGGCAGCCTCCCTTTAGGTGGCTGATTTTCCAGAGCTAAGTGATGGCCTCTGGTTTCTAAAGCTCTACTCCCTAGCCCCCAAAGCCTGAGCTCAGCTGATTGCTTCTGCCGACTCCCACCCTCACCATCACCACTCCTGGCCCTGGGACAGCCTCTGGGCTGTCCTTTCTTCTCCAGCCTCCCTGCCGCCTCTGAGAAGAACTTCTTCCGGAATGGCTCGCTATTAGAGTGGACTCAGGAGAGGCCCCCAGAGTCACTGAGACCATTTGCTAAAGATGCTCTCCCTGTGCATCCCCAGAGCAAAAGCTGAGTGCGTGGGAGGGGCAGGGGAGTTGGGGAGAGGGGTGTTCTGGGGTGGGTGGTGGGGGGCGAATTCGCCAGCTCTTCTTCAGCTGCAGTCTGTGTCCCTGCACCTCCAGAAGACTTCACAGAGCTAGGGAGGAGGGCACAACAGCAGCTCAACTAATCCCGGGATAGCAGGTCTGTCCGAGAGACTGGGGGAATAGACCTGCTGAATAAAGACTCTTCTGTAGCAAAAGGCAAAGGCTGTAATCCCAGCACTTTGGGAGGCCAAGGCAGGTGGATCATTTGAGGTCAGAAGTTCGAGACCAGCCTGGCCAACATGGTGAAATCCGTCTCTACTAAAAATACAAAAATTAGCCGGGTATGGTGGTGGGTGCCTGTAATCTCAGTTATTCAGGAGGCTGAGGCAAGAGAATCACCTGAACCTGGGAGATGGAGGTTGCAGTGAGTCCAGATGGTGCCACTACACTCCAGTCTGGGCGAGAGGGCGGCAAGACTCCTTCTAGGGAAAAAAAAAAAAAAAAAAAGGCAAAGGCCAAAAGGGAGGAGGACAAATTTTACCAAGCCATGATGTATATATGGCAAGGTCCCCAGGTCCCAGACCCCTGACATCAGGCATGACCCCTTTGACTGGTAAGTCTAAGCAGAAAGTGGTTTGGTGTTACCCCCAGACTTGTATCTGCCCAAGTGCCAGTGTATGGAGGGCCTTCAAGCCAGGGGTACAAAGAGAGGTGACATCACAAGAGAAACAGCCATCATGTATGGGGACTCTGCTTACTTCACACACCCTAAACCCTATGAGCTGTGTTTCATTAACCCCACTGGCTCAGATCATTTCAGTAACTTGTTCAAAATCTCTCCAAATTAGTGGGAGACTCCCTACAACTCACCTGCAACTCACACAGGTTATTTTGTTACAAAGTGCTTGGTCTGTAAGGGTCCCGCCCATGTGGCTCTGCCTCTAGGGAGTGTCTGGTGGACTCCCGAACCTCAGACCCAGCAGCACGACTGACATCGAGATGTGACGTGGGTTCTGATTGAGTCATGCACGGTGAATTCCTAGTGGGGAACCACTGGCTGTCCAGGGTCCCTGCTTTTCTGCCAGCTGCCTCCCAGGTCTGCGACCTCCTTCAGAACCTGCCAAAAGGAAAATGCTGTTTCCAGAGGAGGAGCCGAAAGAGAACACGATGGCCCTGCACTCCAGATCTTCGGGTGGATGAGTAATCCAAGCATTCAGTTCAAGAATCACGTTTCAGTTTGTTTCTTGAAGCCTGGAAGTGACCTTTTCAGATACATAAGAACCCAGTGAGCTGTTCTGAGCCTCTTCAAATCCGAAAGCATTCAAGTGGCAGCCCTGACTCTGTCTGCCATCAACATGTGATCCCAGGTCCCGGGCTCCCCTGAAGGCAAAACTAGAGCAGCCCTTTGGAAGTGTCCCTCCCCTTCCCAGGCCCCCAGTTCCCCGCTCTCAGATCTACCCACACTATCCATTGCAAGCCTGTGTCACATCTGTGGATGGAGCTCAGCACGACCTTAGGCAAAGCCAGAATCAGCAAGACACGGGACACAGGCTTGATTGCAGGTTAAGTGTTTTTGTTTTGTTTGTATTTTTGAGACAGAGTCTCACTCTGTTGCCCAGCCTGGAGTGCAGGGGTGCAATATCAGCTCACTGCAACCTCAGCCTCCTGGGTTCAAGCAATTCTCCTCCCTCAACCCCATGGGTATCTAGGACTACAGGCACATGTCACCAGGCCCGGCTAATTTTTTTGTATTTTTAGTCAAGACAGGTTTTCACCATGTTGGCCAGGCTGGTCTCAAACTCTGACCTCAGGTGATCCACCTGCCTCGGCCTCCCAAAGTGCTAGGATTACAGGCATGAGCCACCATGCCCAGCCCAGGTGATGTTTTACATAGAGCTCCAACACCAGAGAGAAGAGTGTCAAGGGGAGGTGGTGCTCTCTGCCTTCTCTGGAGAGCTTTACCCCTAAGTTAGCTGCTCCTCACCCACCCCAGGCTATCCTCTTGGCTCAAGGCCTTTCTGGAATTGAGGTCAAGCACCTGGTAATCATGAAGGCCCTTTGGGGGCTCCCTGATGCATAATACTCCCAGCCCAGGCGGCATGTCTGTGATCAGCTTGTTGGTTTTTTATTAATGTATCATATTAACAGGTTCAGCCATCCTGGGACAAAGCTGAGTTGTAATAAAAAAAACAAAAAGCCAACAAAAAAATAACTTTAATATACTGTTGGATTCAATGTGACAGTTTTGTTTAAGATTTTCAT